CTTTATTCACGCAGAGGAAGGATGGTCTCCTAGCCTGCCACAGAGATCTTCTGTGACCTTGACCAAGTCCCTCAGCTTGATGTGCCTCAGTGTCTCATCTCTAAAGAGGAGATGGTAATAGGCCATCCCTTTTTTGCAAGGAAACTGGTGTGAAGATAACTAAGTAAAGCAGAGCTATCTGACTTTGGAGTGGTTGGGGGCTGCATGCCACAAGGGATGCATGCCACATGCACCCCTCAGGACCCTACTCCGGTGTGTGCTGCTGCCCCTCTGCCACACGGGCAGTGCGCTCCCAAGGGCTCCTTCTGCTGTGCTGCCATGTCCCAGAGACCCTGGGGTGTGCCAGTGCTCCTCCTGGGACCAAAGCCAGAGGCTCCTGGTTGGAGGGTCTTGCTCCTCCACTCACAATCAGACCAATCACCATATTTGGGGTCAGGAAGGAATTTTACCCCATGGTCAGATTGGTATGGGCTGTGGGGGGCTTTTCCTTCCTCTGTAGCAGGGGCATGACCCTCTACCAGGGATCTCTTGAGCATGTTAACAATCGTTTTTAGAAGCAGGATTTTGGCCATCATGCTGTACCTGTGGCAGGGTAGGGTGCTAGGTCTGTGTTGTGTCAGGGTTGACGGCAGTCTTATGTAGAGTTTAGATTATGGATTGTACGGGATGGTTTGGAGAGGGATGATCCTTCCTCAGCCAGGGGGTTGAACTAGATGGCCTGTGGAGGTCCCTTCCTGCCCAACTTCTCTCTAAGGAGCAATGGGGGAGTGGTGGGAGAGCAGGAGCCCCCAGGCTTGTGCGCTAACTCCTCATGGGTCAGATGTGAACTGGAGGCTATCAGTTAGACAGTCCTGATATAAAGGACTGAATGATGCTGGGGGATGCCACTGGCTTTATGGATTACCCTTCCACTGCTGGTACTAATCACCTAAAACTTGGTTAGAGGAAATATTGCCATATTGCTCATCATAAAAGGCTAGTGAACTTTGTCTTTTTGCAATGCATTTAAACATTAGGCAGAGCAAGAGAAGAGAAAACAAGTACTCACAACACCTTCTGTTTCTTGCAAACACAGAAGAAATAAAAGGGGCAGTGAATAGCAGAGGGAATTCTCAGCTTTTGCTTGAACACATTTTCACGATTTTTTTTTTCAGATATTCAGCCAGCTCTAGTGCGATACACACAGGTCCTTCCCCCACTTCACACCCGATTTACATCAGTGTGATTCCATTGGTACATCCCCATTTACAACCATTGCAAGCAGAACTGTGTCCCCAGAATACTACATTGCTTCTCTCTGTCTGTCTAAATGCCTCGCTTGGGCTTTCAGGCCCACTGGGCACCTGAGCCCGCCTTGGAAGCTCACAACTGAAGTGAAACACAGTGGAGCATGCCATGTGTGCCCTGGGCTGTACTTTCAAGTGAAACAGCTTGCCACATCTCTAATGTAAATACCTCAGGCTTCTTCCCAGCCTATCCAGGTACACATGGTATCTTCAGGGGCTGGGAGATGAAAGCTGGTCCTTAAGAACCACAGACAGGGAAAACCTCCACTAGGCAAATCCATCTCTGGATGCCACGGGGTTGTACTGGCCATGAATCTGACTGCCAGCTCTGTGCAGGTTCTGCACCAGCTCTCAGGAGTTTTGCTCCCTGGTGTCACTGCACTGATGTCCACAGTGTTTCTTCTTGAGCTCTGGCTCCTGCCCTGGGAAGAGGCTCAGGACCTACATGCTTTGGCACTGACACAGGTTTCATGATAGACATCTTCCACCCTTCAAGTCAGGGTGGCTTTTCTTCTGGTGGTTGTTTCCCTGTGTCCTGTCTCCGAGGCTGAATGCCCCTCATTCGGCGCTGCACAGGTGGGCAGGAGGGACAAGCTGTCCTCGCCACCTTTGCATCGTGACAGCAGGGTTTGCTAGGTGGCTCTTCCAATACTGCAGCCTGGCATGTGGGGGGCAGACCCTTGGGAGGATGGTCTGGCTACCACACAGGCCAGCAAAAAATGCCAGAGCAGCCTGGAACGTCACTGCAGAGGAGAGATTTGGGATGCTGGGCACTGAGATGACCAGATCTGGCATTGGGAAGGGCATTTGGGTACTGAGAGTGGTATTGATTTTTTTCCAGTCTGTGTGCTCCGGGCTGTTGCCTTTCTTATCTACTGTGACAGCTTGCAAGGTGGGGAGGAAGGAAGAAGAGGCAGAGAAAGAAGTTCAGCAGAATGGAGTTAGCAAGGATCCAGGTGCAGAGGCAGGGGCGCATAGTCAAGCAGAAACAGCAGAAGAAATCCTGTTCATAGGGAGGAGGAACATCTGTCCCTCTGCTGGGAAACACTCCAGACAGAAACATTGAAGCACAGGGATCGGGGGGAGCATTCATAGCGATGGTCCCTTGGAAAGGCCGGGGACATCCATAACAATAACATCTCCCTGGCCACAACTGTCCTGCTCTAATGAGGCTCATCCATCCTGCTAATGCTCTGGCAGGAGGCAATATGGGTCCCCAAAGCCTTGTCCCCGGGCTGTGATACCATCTGCGTTTCTCTTAGAAGCCCCCCTCCATTTCTGTCTCTCTGAATAGAAAGAGGTGGGCTAAAAGAGCCAGGACAGTGGGACCTGAAGGGATCCAGGCCCAGAACATGATTTTCCCTGACAGGGAACAGATGTGCCACAAGGCTTTTACTCGGGGAGGCTCCAAAATAATAAAGAGGAGATTTTTTACAGCTCCCTCTCTGCTTTTAAAGCTGACACCTTATCCCCCACCTCCCCCCACCCCACTGCACACTCTTCACACATTGAAACCTATTTTGGGCCATCTGATGAATCCCAGATGCCTCGGGGAAGCAACAGAAGTGCCGTATCTTCCATTCGCTGCCTCACGCTGCTTTCCTGGCAACCCCCCCACCCCCGGATCCTCTGTGAGCCAGCAGAAGGGGGAGAGGATAATGAAGTGGTAAACGAGAATCTGCTCCTCAAATTGCAATTACCCATGGGCTGGTGAGCAGAGGAGATGAGCCCACCTGGCCTGTGAGGTGGGAAGATGCATTGGAATGGGGGTGCAACAAGGTGTGCGCAGGGGGGCAGCCTGGAGCAAGGGAGGAGACAGATGGTGGGAGGGGGGTGTTTGTCTGGAGCTGCGGACAATGCAGACATCAGGGGACAGCCCCAGGAGCCGAGTCTGCCACCTCCCCAGCAGCCTACGCTGGCTCCCGTCCAGTCTAATGTACACACATAAGGAGACAGAGAGAGTGCACAGCTGCTCAAACCTTCGGATGTTTGGAGTGGTGAGGATGAGCCAAATCCTCTTCTTGCTCAGCCCGGTGTAAATCTGGAGTAATGCCAGGTACATCAGTGGAGTTACAGCACTTCGGAGGCAACCTGCTGTGAGCGACGGTGCTGGAAGATGTGCAGAGGTCTATGAGAGAGAGTCTTCTGCCCTTCCAGACACCCTCGCCACCTGCCTTCTGGTACGTGGAGCTGGCTCGATTTATTAGCCTGTCAGAATAGGGCCTCTGCCCCGAGCCAGGTCTTGCTGGTACTCTACACAGAGCAGAAGGACTCCGAGCTCAGAGGAGAAGTCCCAGGGCCCTTTTGTCCCCAGCATTTCAGCTCCATGCCCATATGATGCCTTCCTAAGGAAACAGCAATTGAAACAACCTGTTGCTGCTGCTCTCTCTCTCCCAAGCAAATTCCACAGGCCTGAAATAACAGCAGCAAAGGCATAGATTTCATAGCTTTTTCATAGATTTTAGGGTCGGAAGGGACCTATTAGATCATTGAGTCCAAATGTGGACACTGGGGAATAGAGATGGGCTCAAGGGGTTGGTGTTGTGCAGCCAAGGCATCCCTGACTCCCTTCATGTCCGCTGAGCTTCATCAGGGGTTAAGTCAGGGGTGGGTAATTATTTTGAGTGGAGGGCCGCTTACTGAGTTTTGGCAAGCCATCAAGGGCCGTGTGACAGGCAGCCAGGGGCAGATAAATATTCATTTTCTACATTTTTTTAGGGGCCCCGCGGGCTGGATAGAATGGCCTGGCGGGCCACATCTGGCCCCCGGGCTGCATGTTGCTTACCCCTGGGTTAAGTAGTCTTGTTTGACCTAAGTGGCTCCTGTAGCTGTTTTACCTCCTTTGTGGGTGTCATGGAAGGACGGCTGAGGCTGGACCATCCTTTCTCCTCTGGGCAGCTCCTTTCTCTCTCCTTTCTCTCAGGACATGGAGGAGGCACCATCCTAGGGTCACCCAGTGGGCAAGGCAGTAGCTCCTGGATGCACCAGACTCCATAGCGGCCTCCTCAGCCCTGATCCCGGGTCTCATTGCAATCCCTTAGCGATCCTCTGGGCCAATTTTACTCTTAGTTACCCTTATGAAGACTCCTGGGATTCATGAGAGGGGTGACCGGGTGAGGACTGTTCAGTTTACATGGACATGCTGGGACAAAGTGCAGCCCATTTACTCAGGAAAGCCTGGGAAAACTGCTGCCATGGGGCTGAGGGGAGCCCTCAGAGGGGTGTCTTTTCCAGGGACTGTTTGCTGAGAGAAGAAATGTCTTTGCAAAGGCACTGCACGCTCTGTGGGACAGGGGGGATCTTACACTCTGTGTGGGCACAGTGCCTAGCATGAGGAGGCCCTGAATTGGGTTTGGGCCTGTCAATACAAGAGGGATAATGATGAGGATGATGAATATTTATTGGCTGGGGAGATGACAACTCTCAGAGCAGAGGAGTTAATGAGCTGACTTTCAGGGGAGCCACGCTTCACAGTTTCTCATGAGTTCTGTGGGAGATGCAATGCTCTGCCTCAAAAATCACAGCATCCTTGAAAGAGATGGACTCACTCAGTCTGTTCCTGAGAGCTGGGTGTAGACCCCGCATCTGCCTCCCCCTGCTTTCCATCAGCCCCTTCCCCTGCTTTCCATCAACCTACACTCCATCTCCCACGGAAATTAACTCGGCTTCTCTCTCTTTTCCCCCCTTTTCTTCTCTCTCAACTGCACAATGCAGGTTTTTTGTCAACTTCCCATCTGCCAAGCAGTACTTCAGCCAGTTCAAGCACATGGAAGACCCGCTGGAGATGGAAAGGAGCCTGCAGCTGCGCAAGCATGCCCGGCGGGTCATGGGTGCCATCAACACTGTGGTAGAGAACCTCAACGACTCTGAAAAGGTCTCCTCTGTCTTGGCCCTGGTGGGCAAGGCCCATGCTCTCAAGCACAAAGTGGAGCCTGTGTACTTCAAGGTAAAGGGCTGGAGTGAGGGTCTCTGATGCTTCATGGGGAAGCAAGGGAAGGAGGGAAGGATCATACTGACACCGCAGTGTTGCCAAGTCCCCTGACGGCTGCACGAGTTCATCCTACTCCCAAGGACGCTGTCCAGCCTTATGGGCCTTTCCTAGATCTGATTGGAAGTTTTCCAGTGGAACATTTTTCCACCAGAAAATTCCAATTTGCCAAAAGCCAAATGCTTTGCACACGCACGTCCGCTCCGAAAGGAAAAGAAAGAAGGACCCAAAATGGTGGGCTCCAAGAAGAGGAGAACAGAATGTTTTAGTTTTCCATTTTGAAATGACTTTCCCTAACTTTCTGCATCACACAACATGATAGGCAATAACATGCAAAGTCAGAACAGGACTGAGCCATTTCTATGGCATCAAAACAAAACATTTCTAAGTGACCTAAATCAATTTATCTTCAGAAACCCACTTCCTGGGTAATTTGTCATTGTTGCTCTGTTGGAATGGGGACAGGCAGGCTGCAGTGGCAGGGCTCCTGGGTTCTCGTCCTTGAACTGCCACTGATTTTTTGGGTGATGTGAAAGTAGTTTCTTAGGACAAAGCTTGCAAAAGCTTTGGGGCGCTTTGCTTTGGCCCAACACAAAATACCATGGGTCTGATATACATTAGTGTTGAGCTGAAGGAAATGTGGGTGCATGGCACCTTTGAAAACCAAGCTCTGAAGGATGGGTCCTCAAGTGGTCAGCACACACCACCAGGCTTGGTTTGTCTAACCAGCTTCACACTCTGCAGCTGCCCTGCGGTGCTTATGGCCTGGTCTGCCCACACTTAATATCTTGAGCCTGTCTGTAAATCTGAACTTACAGATGTGTCTGAACCACTTGCCCATGGCTCACATAGATGCCACATCCCCTAGAGCCTGATTTTCAAGGGAGTTATATACCCACAGTTGCCACTGCCTTCAGCGAGAACGGTGAATTGTCGGCACTGAGGTGCATCAGGCCTGGGGTATCTCAGCTTGGGCCAAGGAATGAGGCAGTGAACCTGGGCTGGGGAGACCCACTGAGGTCACTTTTGAACACGCTGGGCACAGAGACCTGGTGAGTGATGGCAGGGAACACCTACATGACTCCACTGCCTTGTTTCTGCGTTTGGCATAAGCGGAGCGGGAGCGGGTGAATGCATCTCAAATTAGGAACCCAAAATCTGAGACACCCAAAAATGAGTGGATGGTTGAGCTTGCAGTTGCCTCAGTTCCCCACTTTGCCCAATGCAATTTATGCCCTGAGGCGAGGTGAACAAACATTGGTGAGCCTCTTTGAAAGCTGCAGATAGGGGGGACCAATATCAGGTTATGGTGCCGTGACAGTTGATGTCCCTTCTAGCCCTGTGGTTCAATGGTTACTACCAGTCAGAGGGCAAATGGCCCCAGAACTCAGCAGTAGGGTTGTTTTGAAGGGGCTCCTACCCCATTGCTTTCTGACCACCTACCCGCTCCTCCTGTGCCCTGGAGAATCTAGTAACCCTCCTCTGTCTCCCTCAGATCCTAACCGGTGTCATGCTGGAGGTCATTGCCGAAGAATATGCCAATGATTTCACCCCAGAGGTGCAGAGAGCTTGGACCAAGATGAGAAGCCTCATCTACACCAACGTGATTGCCGCGTACAAGGAGGTGGGCTGGGCGCAGTATCCAAACTCCACCATGTGAGCGGACAAGGGGACAGGGAAGGGCCAGGAGGGGCTCACATCAGGACTTCACTATGGTCTCCTCTCAAGATCCTCACTGATCTGAGTGGCCCGGTAGGGTTAGCTCTGTTGCAGCCAAGTCGAAATTTTATCTCCATACGGCAAAAAGTGGGTGGGGCTCTGCAGCGGGAGGGGGTGGGGAACCATTTTGCTTGGTGGCACCATTTTCTTGCCCAGGCCAGGAAGTTACTTGACCTCCCCAAACCCAGAACATAGCTCTTGATTCGATGGCCACAAGATGCACTGGCTCAAATTCTGCTGTGAGGCAACAATGTGCAACCCAAATTTATTGAAGAGTTCCATGACCCTCCTCACCAAGGGAAGCCCGCTCCACTCTCCCCTGGGTTAAAATTGCTCTTGGCCTCATGGGACTTGTGATTTATCAGGCTAAGGCTCTGGTCTCCTGTGTGGTTTGCAAAGTCAACCCAAAACTGTTGTTTCGGTTGCATTTGTAAAACCCACCTGATAAGACTCCGGCCCCAGATTTGTGAGGGATGCAGAGAAATCCCCCTGAACTGCAGATCGCTGGTTCAGGAGCAGCCCAACCAGTCCCCTCTCTTCCACCTGCATCCTGAAATAGTTGGTATTTCCCTGGCACAAGGGCCCTCCTTGGCTGGCTGTGGCACGTTGTCCTGGGGGTGGGCGCCTCGGAGAGGTGTGCCACTCTGAAGCAGCTCAGGTTGGGTAGGGAGTGCAGTGGCATTTTCCTCATTTGGGGGACCCTGGTGGCTTGGCGCACAAGACTGTGGGGGGAGGCTGGGAAGGTCTAGCACAGAATCTGTGACCTGCCGTCAGCGGTAACCCATGAGTCAATGCATAGTAGGTGGCCGACCGCTGGCAGTTGCAGAGACAAGGATCCAGGGAGAAGAAGGTGCATTGAAAACCAGTTGTGTCCCTTCAATCCTTCCCCTTCCCAATACATGACAAGGTAAGAAGGAAGCAGGCATAAACTGGCTCAGGCAACATGTGCTACATGCAGTGTACACCTGGGAAAAGGGCAGTGAGTGTCTGCAAGGGAAAGGGCAGGTTTAATGCCTCCAGCCCCAGGATACTTTTAACTTACCCCAACTGGGAGAAGGAAGTATGCAGTGATCAGGAAAGGGGGGACATACTAGAGATGGTTTCCTGAGTACAGTGAAACATCCCTGCTCCATTTAGAAGTACCTTGAGACTCTGAGTATATATTTGTCCTCAAAATTAAACTGGGTTCCTCAAAATAAAGTGCCTGGTAAAAAATCACCGCATACACAACATTGATTCCATCCCCATCAGTATCACGAGCACCCACTAATTCATCACATGCCCGTTTACCCATTGGCTCTCTCCCTGCTCCCCTGTGTAACCACATGAGCCTAGGAGTAGGCAGCATCAGATTTGGAGTCCTAACCCTCATACTGACTCCTCTTATAGCCTTGGTCACTTTACTTATCTGCTCTGCTGCAATTTCCCACCTCTGTCCAAAGGGAAAGAAGCACATAACCCCTTATTTGATAGGGGTGTTGTGGGGGTTAAGTAGGGAATGTCTGTAAAGTGCTCTGGAAGTGAAAGGCCAAGCTGGTCAAATAATTCAGAGGCAAGTTATCCCCTTGTCATGACACCAAGGAAGCTGAAAGCTTTGGAGCAAGCTCACCAGGCATCCTATACTATAAATGTCTCTTCCCATCCCCCTCTGAGAAGCTCTCAGCTTCCAGCTGGGCTTTAAGAAAGTGGCTGATCTCTGTCACCCCGTCTCTGTTGGCACCATCTGAACCCAGGAACTTCTACTAGCAAGTTATCCCTGAGCTAAATTAGTGATGTTCCACTAAGGGATGGATTTGGGCCCAAAGCAGCCTCTAGTCATAGGGGCTCTATGGGGAAATCTTGGGTGTAGTAATTATTAGGGTGATGTCACTCCCCAAGAACTGTGCGTGATTTGTGTACAGTATTGCCTCTCATTCTGGTACATTTGCTCCTCTATTCTCTACCCTCCTCTTCTGCCTGTCTGTCTCTCTGCTTTTCCTGGACACCTTGAAGGATATGTGAATGTTAAACTACCATGCAAGACTCCCCTTGTCAATGCCCTAGAAGTATATAGCACTGCTCTAGCCAAATGTGTTGTACTTAGCTTGTAAATAAGCTGCCGCGACATGATCAGCCCTGCCACTTGCGTGGTACCTACTCAGCAAACCCTCTGTCCTACCCCATACTTCCTTACTAGTAGACAAAGCTAGCTAGATGACAAGGGTCTTATTTGGACTGGATGCTCCATGGGATAGGGACTAGTTCTACATCACTGTCTTGTACAGCACTGCACGCTGGCGGGGCTAAGTTCGTAATCCTCCATCATCATCTCCTCCTACCAATGATGATCTGCTCCATGCACTGCTATGGAGCTAACTGAGCTTCCGCAGGCATTTCTATCTTCCCTCTCACTTTCTACCAGTGAAGACCAAAGTAATTCTGATGGGAGTTAATTCCTTCCCTCCATGCACTGATTGTGACCATCTCCCTTTCTGTAATGGTGACTAGGAGAGCAGAGGTCTCTTTTTTTTTTCCTCCTGGGGAGGGTTGCAGTGGAAAGGAGCATGTGTGGGTGGCTTTGTTTGACTATTATGTTTCTTCATAACTGTCCCTGCCAGTCTGGAGTTCCTTAGGAAGCAGATGATCATGGGCAAGATAATCGTGGTACACGGAGGCATAACAAGCAAATGGTCATATCTACCTGATACACGCAGGTCTTTCCATTGCTCTAGTGTGGACCATGATCCAACACAATTCTCAACTCTGGCCCAGATTTATTAAAACACTCATCACCTAATGAACTTTATGCATGTGAGATGGCCCATTCAAGCTGGGATCAGGGCCAGGGTACTTGGCACCTTTCTCAGCATCTTGTGGCTACAAAATGGCAGCATTTGGTTGATTCTGAATCTAGCCTCAACTAAGTTGATCAAGACTCTTTTGGGGATCTCAGGTGGGACCTTCTTGACCTCCCAGGTTTACTGACAGGCTGAGAGAGCTGAGTTTTGGTAACAGCTGCTAGATCCCTTGGGACTGTTATATCCCACTCTTGATTTCCCTCCACCATTCAAGGCCTCAAATTTAATCAAGTTCCATTATCTTCTGTTTCTGGAGAATCGGGGTGAAAACTGTCAGTGTCAGGAAAAGCTCTGCTGATTTTGAGTTGCCCCATAACCTAAGCTTATCTCCTGTCCTTTTCTAGGAAAGGGGCAGAGTCTTCTGTGCCCGAGGGAAATGTTAACCTTGAAAAAAGAAAAATCCATCCAGGGGTTTGATGAGAGTTGCAAATACAGCTTAGCAAAGCCTTTCTCCAGTCAGTCTGAGATGGCTCCTTCATTCTCACTTCTCATGTGAGAAGAGCCTGAAAGGCTAGAAGATGCTGGAGAGGAAACCCAGGGGACCAGATTTCTCTAGTGTCAAAGTACAACACAAGCAGCGGTCATGAAGACTTCTCCTCACTGTCCTAGCCATGTGTCTTGACCTTCGCTTCAAGGGGTCATCTCGGCCTGAGGGGGCAAGTAAGTCTCCATTCACCTTCAGTCACTCTGTCGTACCTTCAGTCAGTAAGGGCACCGAGACGGTTTCGGATACTGTCATGGTGTATAAAGCCTCTCACCTATTAGGCTAGGTATAGAGCAGTGGGGTGGGGTGACTGTGGCATGGGTAGATGGGCATACCAAAGTAGTTTTGACCTGGGTGTACTAAGACCAGCAAGGACTTCAGCTGCTTCAGTAAGTATCCCAGGTGTCTCCTTAGCTGCTGTTCTTAGCTTAAAGCTGGTGGTACCAGTACCTACTGCCTACCTCTACCACAGTCACCCCCAGCCCCCAGATGTTGCGTAGACTTGGCTTTCATCAACAATTCAATCCCCACCTTTGCAGTCGGGATGGTGAGACAGTGTTTCACAGGCATGCAGTGCAGCAGGCTCTTTGAGAGTCACTGAGATTCGGGCAGCTCACTTCTCTTGTGACCCCTTCGCTGCAGCGTTGCTCCCCTGTGAGACAGCGGCTCTGTGGAACTGTTTAGAGGTGTCTGTCCAGAGCCAGCAGCCAAATGTCCAGGCCCAGGAACTACCCCACGCTCATGTCACTGCAGGAAGGAAGGACGGAGAAGGTAAACTCAGAATGGGAGGCCTGAGCCAGGCTAGGAAGTGATCTCCGTATGGTGCACCAGAGAGACAGAACAGCTTCAGGGCGTCAAGCATTGACGTGATTTGAGGGCAGGGAGAGGACAATTTTCCTTACAGTGCATGGAAGGGAACAAGGCAGACTGCAGGAGTTTGTTCCAGGCCCGAACAGCAGGCGAGGCCATGATAAATACGTTCACTTTCCCTGGGAGAGAACTTTGCCCTCTGAGGCAAATGGCCAGAAATTCCTAACTTCACTCAGCAGCAGCCAAATTGAACCTCTCAAAGGATCTTTTTTGTAGTGTTTGAGATGCTCTGGCCTCTTTCTATCAGCTGCCCTGTTGCCAGGTTGGCTACAATCATGAGAAGTATTGCACACAAATTATTACAGCCTCCCCAAGCAAATGCAGCATCTGCACCCCCTGGGCACACCTGGCACAGGCTGCTTGGGAAGAGCTGCTAGCCAGCTTCTCAATGGGGGTTTCAGTAAACTCACTCAATACTCATGTGTGCCCCTGCCTCTCTTGACTCTAATGCTGGTGAAGCTGTGGGGTAGGATCTCTATGCTGTTGACTACCTGGTTATAGGGAGCAGAAAGGACCCACCAAACCCTAGTGACTAAGAAATGACTCCTGCTAGTGCCATGTGCCTACTGAATTCACCTTTTCTGTTAATAGACGCTACAGTCCTCCTTTTCCACCCATTTTGCCTACAGTCAGCATTTCCCCATATGATCCAAACCCAGCAGACTTCTCATCCATAGAAGGTTTCAAGTGATTAGGAAGCCCCCTGGGCTGTAG